ATATAAACTATTAATTACTTTTAAAACAAATTATTTATAAAATATAAATTACTTAAAGAACTTAAATTACATATAAAACACTACTGATAAAACTTTAATTACTCACAAGACGTAAATATAAACCACTATTTACTGATAAACCGTTAGATGTCAGTCTGCGATATATTTCACAAGGTAAATTAGGTAGCCTCAACTACACCTTTACAAACTCAGAGATTCGGACCCGCGAGCCCGAAACAGTACAAACTGATGCATTATTCTGCCCTTAAATGATTCGGATTCACGAGTCTGAATTTCGGGGTTTGTAAAGCAGCAGGTGAAAAGCCAGGACTTATGACCCCAACAGGACTTTTGACCCCAACAGGACTTTTGACTGCAACAGGACGTTTGACCACAACAGGACGTTTGACGCCAACAGGAATTTTGACTGCAACAGGACGTTTGACTGCAACAGGACGTTTGACCGCAACATGACGTTTGACCGCAACAGGACGTTTGACCCCAACAGGACTTTTGCCTGCAACAGGACGTTTGACTGCAACAGGACGTTTGACCACAACAGGACGTTTGACCCCAACAGGACTTTTGACTGCAACAGGACTTTTGACTGCAACAGGACGTTTGACCGCAACATGACGTTTGACCGCAACATGACGTTTGACCCCAACAGGACTTTTGACCCCAACAGGACTTTTGACTGCAACAGGACGGCCACAACAGGACGTTTGACTAACAGGACTTTGATGCAACAGGACTTTTGGACGCAACAGGACGTTTGACCGCAACATGACGTTTGACCGCAACAGGACGTTTGACCCAACAGGACTTTTGGCCAACAGGACTTTTGACTGCAACAGGACGTTTGACCACAACAGGACGTTTGACTAACAGGACTTTTGACTGCAACAGGACTTTGACAGGACGTTTGACCGCAACATGACGTTTGACCGTAACAGGACGTTTGACCCCAGGACTTTGACTGCAACAGGACTGCTACCAACAGGACGTTTGACCGCAACATGACGTTTGACTGCAACAGGACGTTTGACCGCAACAGGACGTTTACCTAACAGGACTTTGACCGCAACAGGACGTTTGACCGCAACAGGACGTTTGACCCCAACAGGACTTTGACTACAACAGGACGTTTGACCGCAACAGGACGTTTGACCCCAACAGGACTTTTGACTGCAACAGGACGTTTGACCGCAACAGGACGTTTGAATGATACTCCAGGGAAGATTATTTCTGTAACGATTCTTCCGACGGTTCTCATCCCTTTGTCCGTCATCACAAGTGAGATCCATGAAGGCCGGCACACTCTGTTAGTAGTAAACAAGATGGTAAACAGGAAGTAAACAATAAACAAGATGGTAAACAGGAAGTAAACAATAAACAAGATGGTAAACAGGAAGTAAACAATAAACAAGATGGTAAACAGAGTAAACACCAACACCACAACTGAGGGACGGAAGAAGAGGACGGAAGAAGAGGGACGGAAGAAGAGGACGGAAGAAGAGGGACGGAAGAAGAGGGACGGAAGAAGAGGGACGGAAGAAGAGGGACGGAAGAAGAGGGACGAAGAGGGACGGAAGAAGAGGGACGGAAGAAGAGGACGGAGAAGGGACGGAAGGGACGGAAGAGAGGGACGGAAGAAGAGGGACGGAAGAAGAGGGACGGAAGATGAGGACGGAAGAAGAGGGACAGAAGAAGAGGGACGGAAGATGAGGACAGAAGAAGAGGGACGGAAGAAGAGGGACGGAAGATGAGGGACGGAAGAAGAGGACGGGAAGATGAGGACGGAAGAAGAGGGACGGAAGAGGACGGAAGAAGAGGACGGAAGATGAGGACGGAAGATGAGGACGGAAGAAGAGGGACGGAAGATGAGGACAGAAGAAGAAGAGGGACGGAAGAAGAGGGACGGAAGAGGAACGGAAGAGGGACGGAAGATGAGGGACGGAAGATGAGGCGGAAGAGAGGGACAGAAGAGAGGGACGGAAGAAGAGGGACGGAATATGGGGGACGGAAGAAGAGGGACGAGAAGAAGAGGGACGGAAGAAGAGGGACGGAAGATGAGGGACGGAAGAGGGACAGAAGGAGGGACGGAAGAGAGGGACGGAAGAAGAGGGACGGAAGAAGGGGGACGGAAGATGAGGGACGGAAGATGAGGGACGGAAGATGAGGGACGGAAGAAGAGGACGGAAGAAGAGGACGAAGAAGAGGACGAAGATGAGGGACGGAAGATGAGACGGAAGAAGAGGGACGGAAGAAGAGGACGGAAGATGAGGGACGGAAGAAGAGGACAAAGAAGAGGGGGAAGAAGAGGGACGGGAAGAGGGACGGAAGAAGAGGACGGAAGATGAGGACGGAAGAAGAGGGCGGAAGATGAGGAGAAGAAGAGGGACGGAAGAAGGGAAAGAGGACGAAGAAGAGGACGGAAGAGAGGAGGGACGGGGAAAGAGGGACGGAAGATGAGACGAAGAAGAGGGAGGAAGAAGAGGACGGAAGAAGAGGACGGAAGAAGAGGGAGGAAGAAGAAGATGAGGACGGAAGAAGAGGACGGAAGAAGAGGGACGAAGATGAGACGGAAGAAGAGGGATGGAAGATGAGGACGGAAGAAGAGGACGGAAGAAGAGGACGGAAGAGGGACGGAAGATGAGGACGAAATGAGGACGGAAGAAGAGGGACGGAAGAAGAGGGACGGAAGAAGAGGACGGAAGAGGGACGGAAGAAGAGGACGAAGAAGAAGGACGGAAGAAGAGGGACGGAAGAAGAGGGACGAAGATGAGGGACGGAAGATGAGGACGGAAGAAGAGGGACGGAAGAAGAGGACGGAAGAGGACGGAAGATGAGGACGGAAGAAGAGGGACGGAAGATGAGGACGGAAGAAGAGGACTGAAGATGAGGGACGGAAGAAGAGGATGGAAAGATGAGGGACGGAAGAAGAGGAGAGGACGGAAGAAGAGGACGAAGATGAGGACGGAAGGGAGAAGAGAAGATGAGGACAGAAGAGGGACGGAAGAAGGGACGAAGATGAGGGGACGAAGAAGAGGACGGAAGATGAGGACGGAAGAAGAGGGAGAGAGGGATGGGAAGAAGAGGGACGGAAGAAGAGGACGGAAGATGAGGGACAGAAGAAGAGGGACGGAAGAAGAGGGACGGAAGAAGAGGGACAGAAGAAGAGGGACGGAAGATGAGACAAGAAGAGGGGACGGAAGATGAGGGACGGAAGAAGAGGACGGAAGATGAGGGACGGAAGAAGAGGGACGGAAGATGAGGGAAGGAAGGAAGGACGAAGAATAGGGACGGAAGAGAGGGACGGAAGATGAGGGACGGAAGATGAGGACAGAAGAAGAGGGCGGAAGAAGAGGACGGAAGATGAGGAGAGAGAGGGACGGAAGAAGAGGGACGGAAGAGGGACGAAGATGAGGGACGGAAGATGAGGGACGGAAGAAGAGGGACGGAAGATGAGGACGGAAGAAGAGGGACGGAAGAAGAGGACGGAAGAAGAGGGACGGAAGATGAGGACAAGAAGAGGACGGAAGAAGAGGACAAGAAGAGGACGAAAGATGAGGACGGAAGAAGAGGGACGGAAGATGAGGAGTGGGAAGAAGAGGGATGGAAGATGAGGACGGAAGAAGAGGGACAGAAGATGAGGGAAGAAAGGACGGAAGAAGAGGACGGAAGAAGAGGGACGGAAGATGAGGACGGAAGAAGAGGGACGGAAGAAGAGGACGGAAGAGGACAGAAGAAGAGGGGATGAAGAAGAGGGACGAAGAAGGGACAAGAGGGACGGAAGAAGAGGGACGAAGAAGAGGACGGAAGAGGAGGTAGAAGGGACAAAGAGGGACGGAAGATGAGGGGACGGAAGATGAGGACGGGAAGAGGACGGAGGAAGAGAGGACGAAGATGAGGGACGGAAGGAAGAGGGACAAGATGAGACGAAGATGAGGAAAGCGAAGAAGAGGAACGGAAGATGAAGGAGGAAGAAGAGGACGGAGAGGGACAAGAGGGACGAAGATGGGACAAGAAGAAGAGGGACGGAAGAAGAGGGACGGAAGATGAGGACAAAGAAGAGGGACGGAAGAAGAGGGACGAAGAAGAGGGACGGAAGATGAGGGGAGGAAGATGAGAACGGAAGATGAGACGGAAGAAGAGGACGGAAGAAGAGGGACGGGAAGAAGAGGGACAGAAGAAAGAGACGGAAGATGAGGGACGGGAAGATGAGGACGGAAGAAGAGGACGGAAAGAAGAGGACGAAGAAGAGGACGGAAGAAGAGGGACGGAAGAAGAGGGAAGGAAGATAGAGGGACAAAGACAGGAAAGAAGAGGACAAGAAGAGGGGACGGAAGAAGAGGGACGGAAGAAGAGGGACGAAAGAGGGACGGAAGAGGACGAAGATGAGGGACGGAAGAAGAGACGGAAGAAGAGGGACGGAAGATGAGGACAAAGAGGAAGATGAGGGACGGAAGATGAGGGACAGAAGAAGAGACGGAAGAAGAGGACAAGAAGAGGGACGGAAGAAGAGGGACGGAAGAAGAGGACGGAAAGAAGAGGGACGAAGAAGAGGGACGGAAGAAGAGGACGGAAGAAGAGGACGGAAAAGAGACGGAAGAAGAGGGATGGAAAGATGAGGAAGAGGACGGAAGAGAGGACGAAGATGAGGACGGGAAGAAGAGGACGAAGAAGAGACGGGAAGTAGGGGACGGAAGAAGAGACGGAAGAAGAGGAACAAGAAGAGACGGAAGAAGAGGGAGGAAGAAGAAGGACGGAAGAAGAGGAATGAAGAAGAGGGGACGAAGAAGAGGACGGAAGAAGAAGAAGGGGAAGGAAGAAGAGGGACGAAGATGAGGAAGGAAGAAGAAGGAAGGAAGAAGAAGGAAGGGAAGAAGAAGGAAGGAAGAAGAAGGAAGGAAGGAAGAAGAGGAGGGAAGAAGAAGGAAGGAAGAAGAAGGAAGGAAGAAGAAGGAAGGAAGAAGGAAGGAAGAAGAAGGAAGGAAGAAGAAAGGAAGGAAGGAAGGAAGAAGAGGAAAGAAGAAGAAGGAAGAAGAAGGAAGAAGGAAGAAGAAAGAAGGAAGGAAGAAGAAGAAGAAGAAGAAGAAGAGGAGAAGAAGAAGAAGAAGAAGAGGGAAGGAAGAAGAAGGAAGGAAGAAGAGGAAGGAAGAAGAAGGAAGAAGAAGAATGAAGGGAAGAAGAAGGAAGAAGAAGAGGAAGGAAGAAGAGGGAAGGAAGAAGAAGGAAGGAAGAAGAAGGAAGGAAGAAGGAAGGAAGAAGAAGGAAGGAAGAAGAAGGAAGGAAGAAGAGGAGGAAGAAGAGGGAGAAAGAAGAGAGAAGAAGAGGAAGGAAGAAGAAGGAAGAAGAAGGAAGGAAGGAAGAAGGAAGGAAGGAAGAAGAAGAAGAAGAAGGAAGAAGAAGGAAAGAAGAAGAGGGATGAAGAGAAGAAGAAAGAAGAAGGAAGGAAGAAGAAGGAAGGAAGAAGAAGGAAGGAAGAAGAAGGAAGGAAGAAGAAGGAAGGAAGAAGAAGGAAGAAGAAAGAAAGAGGAAGGAAGAAGAAGGAGAAGAAGAGGGAAGGAAGAAGAAGGAAGGAAGAAGGAAGGAAGAAGAAGGAAGGGAAGAAGATGAAGGAAGAAGAGGATGGAAGAAGAAGGAAGGAAGAAGAGGGGATGGAAGAAGAAGAAGGAAAGAAGGAAGAAGAAGGAAGGAAGGAAGAAGGATGGAAGAAGAAGGAAAGGAAGAAGAGGGGAAGGAAGTATAGAGAAGGAAGAAGAAGGAAGGAAGAAGAAGGAAGGAAGAAGAAGGAAGGAAGAAGAGGGAAGGAAGAAGAAGGAAGGAAGAAGAGATGGAAGAAGAAGGAAGGAAGAAGGGAAGGAAGAAGAAGGAAGGAAGAAGAAGGATGGAGGAAGAAGAAGAAGAAGAGGAAGGAAGAAGAGGAAGGAAGAAGAAGGAAGGAAGGAAGGAAGGAAGAAGAAGGAAGGAAGAAGAAGGAAGGAAGAAGAGGGATAAAGAAGAAGGAAGGAAGAAAGAAGGAAGGGAAGAAGAAGGAAGGAAGGAAGAAGAGGAGGAAGAAGAAAGGAAGAAGGAAGGAAAGTGGAAGGAAGAAGAAGGAAGGAATAGAGGGGGGAAGAAGAAGGAAGGAAGGAAGAAGAAGGAAAAGAAGGAAGATGAAGAAGAAGAAGAAGAAGGAAGGAAATAAGGAAGGAAGGAAGAAGAAGGAAGGAAGAGTTAGAGAAGGAAGAATGGAAGAAGGAAATGAAGGAAATAAAGAAGGAAGGAAGGAAGAGGATGGAAATAGAAGAGAAGGAAGAAGAAGGAAGGAAGAAGAAGGAAGGAAGAGAGGAAGGGGAAGAAGAAGGAAGAAGGAAGAGGGATGGAAGAAGGAGGAAGGAAGAAGAAGAAGGAAGAAGAAGAAAGAAGAGGAAGAAGAAGAAGGAAGAAGAAGGAAGGAAGAAGAAAAGGAAGGAAGAAGAGGGAAGGAAGAAGAAGGAAGGAAGAAGAAGGAAGGAGGAAGAAGGAAGGAAGAAGGCGAAGGAAGGAAAAGAAGGATGAAGAAGAAGGGAAGGAAGAAGAAGGAAGGAAGAAGAAGGAAGGAAGAAGAGGGGGAAGAAGAAGGAAGGAAAGAGAAGGAAGAAGAAGAAGGAAGGAAGGAAGAAGAGGATGGAAGAAGAAGGAAGGAAGAAGAGGGAAGAAAAGAAGAGGGAAGGAAGAAGAAGGAAGAGAAGAAGGATGGAAGAAGAAGGAAGGAAAGAAGAAGGAAAGGAAGAAGAGGAGAAGAAGAAGGAAGGAAATAGAAGGGAAGGAAGAAGAATGTCGATGAAGGATGGAAATGACTTTCACCCTTAGTAGTAGCCTCACCCCGTTGTCCTGGAATCTTCCTC